AAATACATTTATTTTTCCTATTAATGAGACTGCCACTAGTGCTTATGAGACATCTCTGCCTTCTTCCAGGCTGTCTCCTAGTGCCTCTGTTAGGCTCTCCCTAAAGCCTGTGGGCACTGACTGATTTCAGCCCCAGCAGGTAGACTCTTAGAGTCAGTGGCTTAAATGCAAATGGTTAGGTTCAGTAAGTGATCCTACAGAAGTTTGAATAAAGGTTATCCCTGTTCAATTTGTTTCTCTATGTTTCTAGAAAATGAAGGGATGAAGAGGTGAAAAATAAGGGTGCAAGAGAAGAAAAAAAGCCCGTAATTCAAGGAAGAATACATGTTTTCTGACTCATTCTCTAGAGGTAGGAAGAGTATTCTTATTTTCTCACAGTAATGGAAGCCTCTGCTCATGTTCATGCCCTACTCCAAATTGTCTGCATTGTCCAGATGTTGCTTAGTGCTCTGGACAACATCTTAAATGACTCACTGGTGAAGCTGGGAGAGAAGGGAGTTAAATTCTGGCATGGCACTCTTCAGCCAGCCATTTGTCCAAGAGAGCAGAGATGTAACAACCCTGAGCATTCCCAGGTGTGAAAGGATCTTCACACTCCTTGCTGCTCAGACTCTTGACATGACTCTGGGAGAAGGCTCATCTCTGTAAGAGCTGCTGTTTTCTGGTTTTCCGGAGGGCAATATGTTTGCATAAAACTTTGGGCTAGAAAAAATGGTGTGTTACAATATAGATTTGTAGGGTACAAAAGGATAAGAAAAGCAGGAGAAAGAGCTGACTGCAACAAATGCTTCCTGCTGTAACGAAGGCTACGGGGCAGGGTGGGGAGGGGGCCTACTTCCCACAGAAAGTGATTTGAAGTTGTTGAACAGACGTTGCCTGCTTTTTAACGCCTGGCAGAGTCCTAGCAGTCTGCACTGCATCTCACTAGGGAATCCAGACAACTAAGCAGTGATGAGAAAGGAGAGAAAAAAATATTAGAGTGAGGTATTGAGAAATAGAGGTAGCAAAATTAGAGGTAGATTTCAATTTATGATTTGGAAGCCAAAGAGAGGTCTCCAGGTGATTGAGCAAGCTACCTTTGGTTGCAGCAGCTCTCCTTACAGCTTTGAGTGGCCAGCTTCTAGATTGCTCTGGTTTGTAGTCACGGATAAGCACTCCCCCTGGAAATTACTGAAGCAGCCTGCCACATCAGCTCACAAGCTTGTAAAGTTATATTTTAATTGTGTTATTAAACCTCTCTCACTTTGGCTTTTGTCTGTTTACCTTCCTGATTCATCTGGATCAAACTGTGCTGGAACAAGATTGTGGTTCCTCCTGAATTGTGCTGTTTATTTGTCATAGGATGTGCAATGAGAATGGGTAAAACCATTCAGAAGCCCAAAAGCAAGCTGAAAATCATCTTACTCTTTCTATTAAAGGACTGAGGTTGGAGGTGGGATAGTGGAGTACTATTGAAATGCACTTTAACAGTAGGGAAACAAGTTTTTTCCATTTCATTTGATATAAAGCATCCAGATATAGGCTAATGGACAGAGTTTATTATCTCTGTTCTCACCTTAGCTTTCCCAATCCTTTTCTCTTTCCTCTGATTTGAAATTTATCTTTGCCTGGCTCAAGGGGCTCATTTTGGTGGGCTATCTTAGCAGTTCCCATCCATAGGTTATGCTAAGTAGTTGAAAAAATCAAATATATTCTTTTGGCTCCAGGACAAGTCAGATAGAATTACTACTGGGACTGGGGAGAGGAGGAACTGCAGATGCCACTGCTTTTTTCCTTTATAAGCAGTGACTATTACCTTCTTTTGACTAAATTACTGCATTTTATTTAATTATTTCTGGCCACAGTTGCACTGTCTTCTGTGATAGAAGTCATACAAGCCAGAAGCTCCTGTTGTATCTCTGACTTGAATCCACAGGTGCTCACCTTTAAAGCAGTGTCGATGCTTGCCAGATATTATTACTAAAGAATTTAGGAGATAACGCTGCTGTTGCTCAGAGACACAGCACTGACCCCTCAGACACCTTCAGCAGCCATCGGTGCAGTTCTACTGCAGTCTGTTCTTTATCATTTAGTTGCCCCATCACACACAGCTGTATGACATTACTAATGTAACATGCCACAGAAGTGAGCTCCAGGGACTTTTTGGAAGGTTTTCTGGCAGTGGAATAGATCATCGATTTGTTAATGCAAGGAAAAGGTTAAATTTAATAAATTAATAAATTGATTTAATGTATTGATTAAATAATACACCTTGGCCTGGACACACCCATTTCTCAGCCATGCACATGTAATTCAGATTCTGAGGGAAACTGTTACTACATACAGACTTATGTATAAGGTGTTGAACAGGAACAATGAGGGCTACCGGCTGTTACGTGAATGAGTATTGCTTGCCTGATTATTTCAAGATATTTTTAGTTTCCTACAACAACAAATGATCCTCGGCTCTTTGATCAACTTCATATTACAGCAAAAGAAAAGAAGGTAAAAAAAGAGAAAGGAATTGCCATCTGTCATCTTTGGCTAATTATTTCAAGCCCTACCTTGCTTCATACACAGCAGCACACTATTTTAGGCCTTGTTAACTGAGAAGTCTTCTACTCTGCAAGAGTATAAATGAGTTCACCTCTAGCAAGCTCCATACTGCTCAGCATGTTGTGCTGTCATTTCACACAACCTTCTTCCCAAACTAATTTCATGATTTATTAGTTCAGTCAAGTCTATTTTATCCTGCTCTCTTAGCCAAACTGGCTTTTCAGTGTAAGACTCAAGTTTTGTTGTATTTCTTTGTGGGTGTATAAGGAAGGAGAGGGAACAGGACCTCATTCCTCCAAACTCCTGTTAGCAGGCCAGCACCTTGGCATTAGCCCTTCTGTAGTGTTTGAAGTGAGACAGTAAATGAAGGAGGTCTCTGTAAGTGTGGAAGGATGAAATCAGGCAGCAGGCATTCATCTGAAAATAGGCAGTATTTATGTGAAAAGCAATAGGCAATGTGCTCTTTCAGAGGCGACCCAGGATCTTTCCGCTTCCTAACCTGCAGGCACAGTACCCCAAAGAATGAAGAAAAAGCTTAGTTTTCTACAGAATTCCCCAAAAATTCCTTTTGTGCCCTGAGATGTGGACTACTTAAACATAAAACGCATTTTTTTTGCCTTATAACGGAACTATGTGAGCATTCTGCGTGAATTGATACTTGGTTTTTTTTAACTCTCCTGCTGAAATTTTTGTTGCTTTCTCAATAGTTGTTTAAAGGTTAAGGTGCATCAGGCTGGATAAAATAGAATCTATCCTCATTTTGTAAGTGCTGACAGTTGTCATACTCACTATCTTTCATTTTCACAAAAGTGCCTTTTTTTTTTTTTTTAGTTCCGTCAGCAGGCTGGTGTTTTTCAATATAATTGGAAAGCAAGTTTCCAGATAAATTTTTAAAGTCTAGGCATGTTGAAACAATGTGATTAAGACGTGAGTTAATAACAAGAAAGAAACAAGCAAGATTTCAGAAACTAATAAAATTTCTCTATAACAATTTAGCTCCTTTTGAGCTTTTTAAAAAGCATGGGGAAATGAAATCTTTCAATGGCTGAAATGAAATGGCTAAATAGCCTGAGCTAAAATCCTGGATTTGTACATTTTAAGCTTCGGTATACTTGGAGATAAACTCTGGTATTGTCCTCCATAAAAGTAAGCTTATTTTCTTTTTAAAGAAAGAACTAGAAGTGGACAGTGATGGGAGGAAAAGAGATTTTTTTTGAGAAAGCTCTACAGAAAGACTATTAAACAGCATCCCAACACTCTGAACTTCCCCATAGGTATCCATTTAAAAACACCACATAAGATCAAACTCAGTGATTATACTGTGGCTGTGCAAATTTGTTTCAATTTAAAAAGACTTCCAAATATTCAGTCAAATTGGAATCAGGGTCAAACATTTTGAAAAACAGTTCTACACGCCCTGATTATATTTCACTTCACTGGTCACCTCCTGGTTTTGAGAGAGGCAAGTAGCAGAACACAGCTATTTTTCCATCAAGCTCATCTAACCCCAGGTAAGCATAGAGTGCATGTGCAGAGCCACAGGGAACTGAAAAACAGGGATTCAAATCACTTTTCCAAGATTGTTGGTTTTTTCACTCCATAGAGTATAGACCGTGCCAAAAAGTACCGAAAGAATCTCACGTCTTTCCTACACTAGCAACACTCTTATGATGAAAATTCACACACATTATTCAATGAAAATCAATAGACTGCAAGAAGGCAATCTAAAGCTTAGCCTGTCTTCATTTTTTTTCATCTAATTAGTTTCTTTGAAATACATTTCAATTTTTCATATGTCATTGAAAACTACACGATCAGTGAGTGACATTTCTTCTACATACCTGCCACTTGAAATAAAGTCAAGCAACAAAGAACAAGTAAATTCAGGAGAAAAGTAGAAAAGAATCTAAGCAAAATATGGAAAAATGACTCATTACTTAAACTTATACTATGAGTTTCATAGGAATGTAAACTAGAATCAGTCATAACTCCTGCATCCTTTAAACATCTCTGTGCTATAGCACTGAAAAAATCCTTTCTTCAGGAGATCAAGGACGAATGTAAACCTGATAAAGGAGAGAGAATATACACATACCAGCAATTAAGAAACGTGGATGAACTGCCCAGATAACTGTGATACCAACAATTAAATTCAATGCATCTGTATTATAAAAACTACCTCTTTCAGAAAAAAATATCAATTAATAGTAAGCAGCTGTGGATTTTGCAGCTTCTTAAACAACTTTCATTTTTTATATACATTAATAATAATTATTACAGGCTTGGCTGAGGCAAGCATCTAGAGTACTCTAATAAACAGATCTGCTGTCATTCCCCTAGTTCAGAAAACATAGCACAACTGAATGATGAGAGACTACAGACTGACGTGAAAAAATGAAACATTTTACGGACATCGGAAAGTCAGAAAGAAAGCATAACGTCACAAAACATCACTTTTTAGTTACCTGTCCCAGAGAGTAGGTGAAGATTTTGCGAGCCTGCCCTGGAGAATTCTAGGTTGCCATAGGCAGGTTGGCACCCAGGAATTTCGTACCCTGCAGCATGAATAGAGGATAAACCATGGCTAGGTATGGCTCATAAAACATACGAGTGATAACCTAGCTAGATTTGCTGCATATTAGTAAGCTATGGCATAATTTGGTACTAATTATAATTCAGGATATCTTACTTTAAAGCAGTATTAAAACTACAAAGCATGGTGATGTTACAGCACACACATTTAGTGATTTTCTTATATGGCTATTGTTGGTCAGAACAAGTCTTTAGGATTGACCTTATGATGGCTGTAAATGGATGCTACTCCGTCTATTTTACTGGAGAAGCATTTGCTCTTAAGATTTGTAAATCAAGCCCTTAAGTTTTTGCATTGTAAAAACATCAGATTAAACAAATTTATGCTTCATTGAAAAAGGGTCAGCAAAATTCCTTCTGAGCACCGTAGTGAGAACACGTTTAACAGTTTTAATTAAATCTGGGCTGAGGTTCAAGTTCCACATACCAGGTTCCATGCACATCTACCAGCAGTAGAACAATAGCTGCAAAATATTTGCTGGAAATGAAAGCACACAGAGAAGCAATCTGAACTAGCAATATAAGCTATGAATAACACACAGCAAATGCAAATCCAGAGCCCAGGAGAAGGCCAACGAGGCAGGCAAATTAGCAATGAGAACTGTTGCCCAACATTAGCATCAAGCAATGCTGGTAAGGTTCAAAACACTCTGTTCAGTCCTCAGTTCACCAAATTCTCACTCAAGTCAAAGTTGTTTTTTCCTGAGTAAAATCTGAGTAAGGACTATGATATTTGCCCGTGCAGAATACCTCATACAGTACTGCTGTTTTCCTTTGCAATATCAGAAATACAACATATCATGCCTTGAAGAATAAACTCAATAAAGATCAGTTTTTCCTCACTCAAGCACATTCATATTTGTGAACCAGAATTTTTGTATAAGCTTTCCCTGTGGTCAGTGATCTCTATACATGCAGAAAATTCTTCCTTCCAGTATTCACCATGAATTACCAGAGGGTATTGCAAAATAGGGACCTTCTGGACTGTGAACACGTCTTTACATACAGGGACACATTTCAGGAGCAATAGCTGTGCTACAGTGAGCAGAAGAGAATCTCAGTATTTATGGGAGAGGGGAACTCTGCTGAGTCTCTTGCTGCTGCTGTAAGTCCACCCGGGGATTAGCTTCATGTCAAGATGATGCTCTTTAAGGCACTCCAAGGAAAAGCACTGACTGAATTCCAGCACGTTACTCTAGTTGTAGTGAGTTGTTCATTGAATAAGGAAGGGACATTTAAGTAAAGTATCTTTTAACTTCTTCCGCAACAGACTTAGATTAAGTATGTGAAGACTCCCAGGGATGACAGAAAAAATTAGATGGCCTGAGGTTTAGGTGGTGTCATCACACAAATTTAGAGCAATATTAGCTTTAAAATCAAAGTGGAGGTGAGAATAAATCTCTGCAATCTGCAATACCTCGGTATTGTCGGTTCTTCCCCGAACTGTGAGTATTACTTTGGATTATGTACCTCTCACAGCTTTTCTGATGTTCTCAAACTGCAAATCTCATAATCAATAGGTGTGTGCTTATTTAATATATAGCAGTTCTGCAGTACTTCACTATGTATGTTCATTCTCAACAATGGGTCTCAGGAAAACGACCATTGTGAGAATACAGATTTGAAAATGGTCTCTATCTGGGTCTCCTTTATATTCTGCCTATTTTTAGGTAGAAAAATGTAAATTGCTCTTGAAAATCAGGTCTTTGAAATTGTAATTTTGAAAAAATCAGTGAATTCAGCCACAGGTTTTTCTAGAACTAGTAGAGATTTTTCAAACCAGAGCATTTTGCATATTCATCTGCACTTTACTGAGAAATCCTCCTTAGTTGTTTTCTAATGAAATTACAAAACTTGCAAATTCTGAGATGGATGAAATGAAAACATTGGACTTTTCAAGCCCATACAATTCGTTAAACTGGGACTCTTGGAGCAAGGAAGCCATTTGAGCAGGGAGAAATCTCTGTTGTCTTCAGATCTATTACCAGCTCTCTTCCACGTAGTCTTAACCTCACCTTTCTCATACCTTTCACTGATAAATAGCAAATAGTTTTGCTATAGATAATCTTCACAAAACATTTTAACGCTATGAGGTTGTGAGATGTTTTGACAGAGAGGGGAGGGTTGTGAAATCCACTTTAGATATTTGTTCAGTGTTTTTCCTGACATCTTCTCGGTAGTAAGTTCCATGTAATTGCTCCATAAATGAGGTAATGCAGAGAAAATCTCTGTGCTCTAAATGTGGTGGGTCTTTCAGAAGCTCCCCAAAGGGATATAATAACATCCTGTCTTAGATAATCAGTGTCAGTTGTAGTCAGTCTAATCACATTCTCATGTGAAAGGTTGAAAAATAATAAGTAACTGTAAAATTTATTTATTTGCCTGATATACAAACACAAAAATTAATTTTTCAGCTTCTGCAATTTACATGGGACATTGTTTCATCATTGACAAATCAGAAATGAGCAAAACATACATATATTTTTGTTTAAAGCAACTGTACATTTTAAAGGAAACAAAATGGCAAATGCTCCCAATTCTGTCACTGTGTTGTTTCCTTTCTGAAACAACAGTTGTAAGAAACTGGTAAGTTTTGAAAATAATAAACACCTTATTAAAAAGAACATTGTATAGTCACAGTATGCATGTAGTAGTTTACTACAAGAAAAATATCAGTTCCAAAAACCTGAGGAGAAAGTATTTCAGATTATCAGTTTTTAAGATGACTTTTTATTATGCTGTAGCATGGTAGAATAGGATTTCCACTTCTTCTCTACAGAGCTTCCCTTATTCCTCACTGATGTGATTGAGACAGACTCCAATGTCAAGTAAGGTTCGAATTTGGGCATACTCTTGTAATAGCCTGTGTTTCCTTGTCTTGTCCTAGAACATGCAGTATGTTACTTCCAATATTGTCTGTGTCTCATCTGACAATAATCATGGAAGATACTTACAGACCTATAGCCAATTGGAAAAAAAAAAAAAAAAAAAAAAAGTTGGATTTCTCAGTGAAACATGAATCAACACTTTATTTCATTGTCTAGAGAAGAACAATTAACAATTCATCAGTATTGGTGACGGACGGTGATTGATCTGTTGTGCCTGGAGTAGACTCACATGCACTGCTTTGTCTATTTAAGAAATAATGTTACGAAAAAAGTAGACACAATGCTCCTTATGCTCTCAATACAAATAGAAAAAAAAAAAAAAAAAAAAAGTAGTTGGATTTCTCAGTGAAACATGAATCAACACTTTATTTCATTGTCTAGAGAAGAACAATTAACAATTCATCAGTATTGGTGACGGACGGTGATTGATCTGTTGTGCCTGGAGTAGACTCACATGCACTGCTTTGTCTATTTAAGAAATAATGTTACGAAAAAAGTAGACACAATGCTCCTTATGCTCTCCACTCCAGATGTCATAGGTGAGTAAAATTTGTAGCATCTGATATGTATAAAAGCCCCTGGTTCATTTGCTACTCTTCAAAAACACTGCTCTTTTGATGCTAAAATATACATGGGTATTTTACAAATGCCAATGCAAATCTGAATGATTTTTCTGAAATAATGTGTTTTTCAGAGGCTGAAGAATTTCATGGTTGCTCCTTTCTCCACTTGTGAGTGGTGGACTTAGTGAATATCCTTTAGCAGTCTCTAAGCAAAAGCCACCCCGAATCTTGCATCTGTTAAAGGGAGAAGGGTTTTCTGTAGAGCAGGAATGTGTCCTGGTCTGATTTTAGCCTAAACTTGGTGCTTTTTAAGACCTGAAAGGGATTTGAAAGTCACCCTTAAAGTGGGTTGAGCTATTATGATTTCTGTACTTGCCCAATTTAGCCATATTTTACACCAGTATGAAGACGTTAAACGCAAGAACTGTTATTTTTGCTTCTATTAACACCGTGCAGCTATTTTAAGGACATGCTTTTATAAACACTAATAACCTCAGATGAAACATTGACAGAGCAAGCTGGAAGAACCGCAGGGATACCTTGGAATGTACTGTCACGACTCTACCTCCACATCCCGTCCTCACTGAAGAGGCACGTGGCAGTGATGCTGATTTAGCATCACAGACTTGCAAGATGCTGTCAGCTGTGCTCGCTACCTACTTTCCTACCAGTCATGCCAATGTAGGCAACTGGCTGTCATCTCCACGGAACAAAGGCTGGAGCTAATAAAAATGTCAAAAAATCCATTTTATGTGAGGGGGTGGCAGTTCTATTCCTGGAGTTACCCAGAACTATCTATGACCACAGCATTAAATAATGTAAAACTGCTGCAGGAACTGCAACAATATATCTTAATGAATATTTTAAATGTAATTCCTTAATTGAAAAACAGGGTCCTAGGGAATCATGCATCCCCTGAGGTCAGGTAATCTGCAGGGACTAGACCAGTAGCTCCGCATTGCAGACACAGATGCTAACAGAGTGCCTGGAAATATAAAGAGGTTGGGTACATCCACCAAGAATTAAAGGGAGGAAGGGGAGTACACCTGTTATCAGTAAAGTTAATACCTATTTTCTGACAGTATAGGAATACAGAGATATTACTTTCGCAGCTCAGTTTAACACATTTTAGGAGAGAGTGTTTCACTGGCAGAACACCTACTGGCTTGGGCATCTCTCAGTATCCTTCTGACCAGGCTCAAAAATCCACCTGTTTTTCTCATGCCATTTCTTGTCTTTTTTGCCCCACTCTTCTAACAAGCTCCTGCCATGGCTTCTCTTCATCTCCAGCTTTTCTAATCTGTTCAATACCCATATAATATGTTTCTGGTCCGGCCACTGTCTCCCCTTGGTGCATCATCTGCTGCAATGCTGAAGGTGAAAGACCACTTCCATGTCCCCTCTTGAGAAGCTGGACATTACAGCAAGCTTCATCTGCCAGGAAGAGTTAGGAATTCTTACTCAGTCTTGAAACTTTGGGAGCAACAAGACTTAACTGAGGTTGAATGTATG